ACTAGAATGTGTAAGGCCATGAGTCCAATCCCCAACACACACCCAAACCACACAAACCCAAGTAGAAGCCAGCAAAGGTTTACCAACATAAAGACACAAGGTAGCCATGTTGATAAAATATAAAACACTATCAAAAGTCTGTGCTCAGTGAGAAGATTCTGGAGCACACTGGAAGGACCTACAGTGGCTCAATGCCAAGGCCTGCCATGGTCCCCAGAACCTCTTTATGTGATGATTCATTCCCTCTCCACAGATGACTGTGATGGATTTACCTTGATCAGATAATGTGCTATTCTCATTGGGAACTAGGGTCTTTTGACCTGATTCAGTACTGGCTTAGTGACTTGTCTTGGCCAGCAGAATGTGGCGGTGGTGATTGTGCCTCTTCCTAGTGCAGCTTCTTCACATTTCTGAAGGCCCCTCTGCTAGTCTTTGTCAAGGAGGCTCGGTAACCATCTCAGACATTCTAGCCTCAGTTCAGCTTTCTCTTAAATGACACCCAATGATGCACTGGATGCAAAAGAGCCATTCAGCTGCCCCTGCCCAATTCTCGATCCAAGAACTATGGGCATATAATAAAATTGTTCTAAGCCATCAAGTTAAGGTGTATTTGGATGTGAACCAGAGATAATCTTTCCTTTTAAAACATTACAGTCTTCCATTTGTTTTTGGAGGACATGTACCATGGTGAACATGTAGAAGCAAGAGAGTCCACTTAGCATGAGACTTTCATGGAATGAATTTTGGGGGTGGAAATCAGGTTGCTAGGCTTGGTGTGACTGCCTTTATCCAGGGACCCATCTCCCATCCCCAGGCATAATCCTCCCTACAAGCTTGACTTTAAATGTAGAAATAAGATAAAGCAATAAGTGATAAAGATTTTATTGCTTTTAAATAGTGGTGCTATAATTCAAATAAATCAAGAGAATTTATAGGCTAGAGAGATGGCTCAGTGGTGAAGATAATCCCCCCCCCCACCAGGGGACCCAGGTTTGATTCCCAGCATCCACTTGTATACGCTCCTGTAATTCTAGTCCTAGGGGGATCTAATGCCCTCTTCTGGCCTATGTGGGTACCAGTAGGGATGTGCTGCATGGATACATGTGCATGGGAAACACCCATGCACTACAAACCTACTTTTCAGGGATATCTAGATGTCAAATTCTGATATGTATATACTTTTCTTAATAGGCATTTTTATTTGTTTTCATGGCAAAGCATCCTGTGAACATCAGTGTGCACACACAGTCTTCTCTGACAAGGTTTCAGTTTACTTCCTATGGTGAGAGATGGGAAGGAGGCAGAGTGCTTGGCATCGTAGGTGCCTGGCACAGAACAGAAAGTCAATACTGTGGCCAAGCATTTCTGACTAAACGAAAGTATGACACTTTAATCATTGTACTGGGATGAATTCTAGAATTGGGTCAAAGGCTAATCAGGCCTCCTGCGCCATTTAATATGGATGGCCACTGTCAAATTACCATCCAAAGTATTTTACCATGCTACAATGCGCACATGGGTGTCCTCAGTGGATTCTGTAGACTGTCTTCTCCCTCACATGCTCACTTACATACCCGCAGGAACCCAGAGTTGGCTCAGAGGGCACACAGGCACTGGGTTAACTAATTGGCTCTAATCTCAGTCCTGAGTTTGAGAGAGCTCAGCTAATCAAGCGGAAAGTTGGGGGGGGGGAAGCAGGTTTTACAATTAGCATCCTGACTGCTTATCCACCATTGTTGACTGTCTTCAGACAGATGTATTTGGTTCCAGAAAATTGAGCTTCATGCTGACTCTGCCTCTCTGTCCTTGTATCTCTGTCTGGATGTGTAGAACCCTCACTGTAATTAGGATATAAAATTCCCAGATTTGTTCCATCATTCAGACAGACAGAAGGGTGGAGGAGCAAAGACCTCCACCTGGGCATTTGGTCATTCCATTCATGTTCAGAGATGCCCTGTAAGGACACCGAGGGAGGCCTGACAGTGACCAGCTTAGGCTCTCAAAGAAGACAGACTGTGGCTTGAACCTTACACATCAGTTGTCAGGCAGTCTGGGGTTGAATTGGCTGTCCAATTTCAGCTTTGTCTCCCCACTGCCATGCTCAGGAAATCCTATTCTCAGAAAGATTCCCTTAACTGCTGGGCAAACTGTGGTGGGAGCGGGTGAGTCAGTGGAGAAGGCGGCTGGAGAAGGAGGTGGGGAAGGTGGCTGGAAAGCTGCTGGAGGACTAGAGAGAAGCCATGAGAGCAGCCACAAGTGTTCAGGCCACAAAGACCGCCTCCACATACCTAGCAGGCTCAGATGAAATAAACGGAAAGGAATCACTCCAACTTTTGCTCCCAAAACCCCATTCAGAAGCAGGGGCTTGTGACTAGCAGCAAGATGAGAAAAGGAATAAAAGCTTCCAGAAGTGAGGGCAAGGAAAAGCACTGTCATCACAGGTGGCTGCTTCCTCCCCAAGGGACAGGTAGGCTTCCTGATAGGTGGATACTAAGTGAGGGAGAGAAAGGCTCCTGGAAATATCTGTGATCAGGAGAGCTAAGTGCTCGGCATGCGGTTGGAGCCAGTGGAAAATTAAAGGACCATTTCCTTTTCAAAAGAATGCAGGACTATCTTTGGATTTACCTTTCCTTTTTTATTTTTAAAGAACTGAGTTCTTCATGGATAGATGAACTGGATGTAATTTAGATTTTAGGTAGAGTTCAAGACATTTGCTAATTTAGTAGTTTCATATGATTAGTTTCCAAAAAGTTACAGATGGATAAAGAATCATGAAACAGATTAAAAAAAAAAAAAGTGGTCAGGTCTAAGGGGTGTGATGGTGTGACAGATTTATAAAGTAATTGTTTGCTAGAGAACTCAGAGTGCAGTGCTGCTGCTGGATGATTATCACTAATTACACGTGTGTGTGTGTGTGTGTGTGTGTGTGTGTGTGTGTGTGAGATGTAGCCAGGGAAAAAGAGCCAAGGAAATGAATGATAACAAATCAATTATCTTAGCAATTTTGCTAGAAAAATAAAGCTGTTTATACACTAAGTAATAACAGAACCCAAACTAAAACTGTATTTCAATTATTACTGCATTTCTATTTTTTTTAATTAATAAGCCACCCCCCCCCACAGATAGGACTATGCTATAAAGCTCAGGCTGGCCTTGAACTTAAGATCCCCCTGCTTCAGCAAGTGCTGAGATTACAGGTATATGCCACTGTACCTGACTTTTTAACTGTATTACTGTATTTAACTGTATAACTTTAATTTGCTATATACATTTAAGAAAATGTTTATTTTTATGTGCATTGGTGTTGTGCCTGCATGTATGTGTGTGTGAGTGTGTTGGTTCCCTTGGAACTGGAGTTACAGATGGTTGTGAGCTGACATGTGTGTGCTGGGAACTGATCCCTGATCTTCTGGAAGAGCAGCCAGTGCTTTTAACTGCTGAGCCATTTCTCCATCCCCTGTACATATGCTTTGAGCATATGCTATGTACATATCAACTCCCATCATCTAACTTCAGTCGGTGATTTGGGGTGGGTCTGAAGTTATGGTTAAAGGCCTTTTCTCTTTTATCATGCAAATGGTTTAAAACTATAAGACTATTTTAAAATAGTAATTGTGCTAATTACAATTCTTTCAAAGTAATTTTAATCCTTTAAAAATAATGCTAAGGAGTGACTGTTGCTAGGGGTAACCTAACTCATGTCTTCCACTGCTTATACAATGGGATCCACTTGTTTAATTAAAAATTGGAAATTACCATCCACTTGGTTATTTGGACATAAGTAGAAGAGATATCTATTCAAAATAAAACTTTTATGTAACAAACAGCTTAAACAAACCCCACAGCTCAGTTCATGCAATGGAAACTGTTAACAGGCCAATGGCACCAACTGTAAGTAAAAAATGGGTATGTGTAAGCTTAAAGGGCTTGAAAGAGTTTTAAATAGCCAGATCATGAAAAGTAAAGTTTTTTTTTTTCCTTTTTGTCTCATAACTTATGGGAGGGCAAAAGTCTCACAAATAGAAATAAATAGGCAACAGGTCATTAACCAAATCTCAAGTCTTCACTTGTAAAGTGAGGAGATTAGTTGTGCTGGTCTCAAAAGGGCTTTCTATCTCTTAAAGCTTTTGATTGTATTCGATACCATCTAGTCTTAGAAGTACATAAATACATGCATATATATATATATATTTCTTTGCTATGTATGATTACTGTACATGTTTTAAGTATTGTTATAACAAAGTCACTGAAAATAATCTTTTGCTGGGCATTCTCTAAACTGACTTGTTCTCCTTTAGCCATATTTATAAAGGTTTCCTGACAGTGCCCCTCACAGAAGAAACACAGCATGATGCAGACACTTACAATAGCATCCACTACTATGAAGCCTAGGAAAAGGCTGCTTTGAGGTCCAACTGCCTCTCGCCTAGAGGATCAGGTCCAGGGAGTTTTCTGTTGCTATTAAGGTGTGACTAGTTCTCTGAAGCCATTTAGAAACAACCAAAGTTCTCAGCAGCAACAATCGACCCTGTGCTGTGTCAAAGCACATCAGATGGCTGGCATTCCATGCCTGGAACAAACGCTATTGCTTATTATGTGAATACATAATGAAAGGATGTGGGCAAAGAACATAATGGAAATTGGAAGCTGACTTCTGAATGTGCTAGGCAGCAGTACTGGGCTGAAACACTCATTCTAATTTCAAGAGACAATTCCAAAGTAGTTCTCAAGAGACAGGATGAGGTATTTTTCAAATATTTGTTCAATATGAATGGGCAGGGGTTGCCAAAAATGACTTTATGCTGGCATGCGATCTCTTGGAGGGAAGTCAGCCTGAGTCACTGGATACATCAAAGGTAGAAAGTCCAGTGAATGGAATTACTGCAGGCTGTGTGAGCAAGCCAGATACCTGTGTTCATCTGCCCACTGCTGCGATTTCAGCCTCCTTTTAATTACATTAAAGCAGCTGGTACCACTGGTTACTGCAGTCTTTAGATTACCTTGATTGCTTGGTCATTATCTCTAATCAGCTGCTGCTTCTCATCTTCAAACTTTTGTATAACATCCTGGAGCCGCCTTTCTGCAGCAAGCTGCTGTCGACTGCTCTCCTCTTTCAGGGAGGAAATGGTTGTCTGAAGCTCTGCTATGATCTAAAATGAAAACAGCATGCTGTAGCTTCAAATTCTCCATGAGAGGCATCTATTTTATATGTATTTATGCTTAACAAAGGAATGAATTTGGCAAACCTCTATTCCACAAACTGAATATTTTCAATTAACATATCACTCAGGATAATGCAAGAAATTCCACACAATAAAAGACTACAATAAAACTGTGAATGGTGAACAACTGCTGAACCAAATATATTTGGAAGGCATTTCCACTCTAACATTCCACAATATTTACTCATCAGAAGAAAGAACATCTGTGATCTCAAAAAAATGAAAAGAGTCAGACTGCATTTTACTGAGAAATAAAATTCTTAAGAGTGAGGAAGGCTGGTCTGACTTTGTAAGACTTTGTACAACCACCATCAGCACCACCAGCATCACCATCACCACCACCACCACCACCACTACCACCACCCACCAGCACTACCCTGATTTTTCACGGTCATGCTCATTCTTTAAGGTTACCCAATTCCACACATTAAGTTTTGGGTATTAACTAATGTTAAGAACTGTGCTGAGATTTAAAGTTCTTATATTATTTGCTACTGTGACAGAAGTATGATTATTACCTCCCTCTTTCAAATTAGCAAACAGAGGCAAAGAGGTCAAACATTTTACAGTGCTGAAGATGATGGACAAGAATTGAAACCCACATTCAACTTCATTTTCTAATGAGCCAATTCCATTTTTGTTTGGTATCAAAGAGAAGTTCATGCTTCCAAATAGGCTGCCTCCTTCCTAAATGCACACTCCTGAAAGTTTATTCTGGCTCGGATAGTGCCCTTCCACAGGGACTTCTGCAGCTCTGTCCACACTCAGTTAGTTCCCTCCAGGGTAGGGTTCCGCCACCTTCTCAAATTAACAACTGATGAGGAACGCAATGGCCCACTGAGAGTACATCTCTTCCTTTGCTTTGGATGCGGCCATTTCCTTTCAATCTCAACAGCGAGGATTGTTTTTGAAAGCAGGAAATGGTTGTTTCTCTAATAAAAGAAACAGTACCAGTGCTCACAATACAGCTTAGCTGTCTTTCTTGATGTCAGTTTCTCACAGAAGGAGCACAGCATCAAAAGGCAAAGCAAGAGGGCCATAAAAGCCAAGTGCTATAGAAATATAGTTGTCACAATGGGCATGCACAGGACATTTTATGATAAAAATTCAGTGCGCAAATTCACTGTAACAAACTTTAAAATGTAATCAAATGCTAAGATTATCTTGAAATGAGGAAATTCATAAGAACAGTATGAGAATATTAAATGGGTCCTCTGCTGGGAGTGAAGGAATTCACTTACTGAGAACAGAATACTGTTCTTCTATTTTAAGAATTTTGATTAAATGTTCCTCCTGTGCAACAAATGCTACATCCAGTCAATTACTTTTCATAGCACTTCTTCCATACATAGTAAAGGTTGAATTCCTATAGTAAACATAAAAAACCAAAGCATAGAAGAACCAGCTCCTAGTCACACGGCCAGAGAGGGCAGGGAGAGAGCCAGATTCCCTCAACCTACCATGAAATTGAAGACTGATATTTTATAGGAACACCAGGCCAAACAGTAAACACAGCTTAATATTTCAGGGTCCTCAGCTGAGAAAAACAACTTCAGAGAAGTGGGGAGTTTAACTCTGTAGTGTGCATGTAGTTCTCTGCGATTTTATCACATGTGTAGACTTGGGTATCTATCATAGTCATGTAATCTACTTTTAAAGCACAAGGTATTTATTTTCCTTTTAAAAACACTGTAATTGTGCAAATCAGTATTGAGTAGAAAGAGGAGGATCAGGAGTTCAAGGTCAGTTTCAGCTACTTGGTGAGTTTGAGACTGACTTGGGCTACATGAGACCTTGCTTTGAAAATAAAAGTAAGGTTGAGATTAGCATAGCTAAGACTGAATATAAAAATATTTTGAGGTATTTAAAATGATTGTAAGGGCCCAAGATCAGGATATTCCTCATTTTTAGAAGATTCTGGACAATGCATACAAAAAGAAATGAGTGTAGGTTTTGGAAGGAAGTATACATGACATTCTAAGGAAGGCACACTTGTCTTATGGTTTCTTTTTTTTTATGGTGAGAGATAATGAGACGTCTAAGGGGGAAATTAAGATTACATTTGGAAAGCTATTTTTAAAACTTATAAAGGTGACATAAGGGAATGTCAAAAGACTAAGGCTAGACAAGTAGGTTGGTTAGTAGGTAGGATGACACTGTGTCACCTAAAAAAGATTTAATATTCCAAATATTTCAGATCAAGAAATAATTAGAATACCAGGCTAGCAAACATGGTTTAAGTTAAGAACACAACATGGATCTTTATGTCTATTTATATAGACTTCGGAGTACAAGAAAACATATTTTTCCACCTTAGCTGAGTGCATATATCACTAGCACTCAATAAATATTCAAGTAATTGATGGGAGATGCCATTCTGTAAATATGTTTCTCGTATTGGTTAATGAATAAAACACTATTGGCCAATAGGAAAGCAAGATAGGTGGGACTAGGAGACTAGGAGGAGAGAAGAAGGAGTAGGGAGGAGTTTCAAGATGTAGGACCAATAGGGTAGAACTCCGGGCTTTCTCTCTCTGATAAGATAAGACTACGTGGGAATACTTAGATTGATAGAAATGTGTTAATATTTAAGACAGAGCTAGCCAATAAGAAATACTAGTAACAGCCAATAACTTTATATCTAATACAGCGTCTCTGTGTGTTATTTGGGGCTGACGTGGTTGTGGGACCAGGCTGGCTGGAAAAACCAACTCTTAACAAGTAATGAATTATAATGGTGAATTAAGTAGTTAACCATCATGGTAAATAAAAAACATCACCACCAGGAAAAAATAAATCAACATAGTTCAGCCTTTTCATAAGCACTAGTAAAAAGTTTTTGAAAAAAGAAAAAGAAAAAGGCTATATCTAATCATAATTGGGAGCCTCCAGTTTGTATAGAATCATAATTAAAGAAACTTTGTGTATTTATTAGGATCTTATTTAAAGTCTTTACAAAATTTAAAATAGAGGTTAAGTTTCACCTTTTAGTTCTATTTTTTTTTTTGTTGTTTTTTTTTTTTTTTCCTCAGATTTTGGTACAGTTTTAGACTTGTAAAATTCTTCCTCTAAGTTCAATAGCCAACAAAAACCATACCTAGAAAAGACAGGAAGGCACTGGGTTCCTCACAAAATACAGGAAGGCAAAGCCCTTTGCTACCCTCAGCAAGGCCCCTGGACGCAATGGGGGCATGTGGCATACTTCATGGGTATTAATCTGTACCATGAAGAAGCTAGCCAGGGTAGTGCCTAGGGTTGATTGGCAGTGGATGGGTTCAGCTGGCAGCTGGTCTCCTTCGGCTATGAATATTTTAGCAAAATGATGCTACCTTGTTTTGGCAAATGGAGAGTAGAGAACTGAATGGAGTTTAGAGACTATGTTAAAACTGAGAAGGCAAGTTAATAGCTAATATTCAGACAAAAAGAACAAATGTGCTTGGTGATATTTTGTGACCTAATAAAGCTTGCCTGAAGATGAGAAAAGCAAAGCAGCCAGCCATGAGCTCTCACCTCTACCTCAGACTGAAAGGGGGATCCTGTCCAGGAGTCCTCAGATTGAATCCCACTGCACTGCTCTCCGCCAAATCTCAGACCACCTAGACTGCTCCTGTCTCCTCCCACCTTATATTCCTCTCTAGTGCTGGGATTAAAGGTGTGTCACCTCAAGTGCTGGGATCAAAAGTGTGAGCTCTGTTTCTCTTTTAGACTGATTCACTCTCATGTAGCTGTGGGTGGCCTTGGACTCACAGAGATCCACCTGTCTCCACCTGAGTGCTTGGATTAAAAGTGTGGCCACCACTGCCTGTCCTCTATGGCTAACCAGCAGCTTATGTATGTGACTGACTAGTAGCTTATTGTGTGTGTGGCTACCTAGTGTCTTTAGCTCTGCACTCTGATCTGCAGGCAAGGTCATATGTTTATTAGCTCATAAACAAAATATACCAAAAACATGTGACTGAACTAGCTGGAGATGATGCATCCCTGGCTGCTATGGTAGAGGCTGTGTAGGCTCACAATGGGGATAGTCATTGAGTGTGCCTGGGATTAAGTGCACATGGTCTTCTGGGTCCAAAGCTTGATAAGATTTTAAGATCAAATAACTCCCTTTATAGGAAGAAAAGATTGCAGATATTTTCCCAATTTAAACTGCTGTTCACTTGAGTGCCAATGGCCATCACTCATCTATTCACATTAGCACTGCTCTTGAGAGGAAGATTTTTAAACCCTGATAAACACAGTGGAGCAGCTTTGCTTCTGGTACTCTCACTAGGTTGATGAGATATGCAGTAGAGATTCCAGTAAACTTGCATCTGGAAGCATAAACAGCCCATGTTTCATTTTTTTTAAAGGTTCATTTAAAAATAATCTGTTTCTCAGCAGTGACTGGCACGGTAACTGATGTCTTCAAATGCCAGTTCATGGCTATAAATACTTGCTGCATCAGACATGGGTAGAGACTATTATCAGTGTAAGGCTATCTTCCACTTGACATCCTATGTATTTTTTTGGCATTGCATTCCCTCTAGCTCATAAAATGATTACATTGCATGATAGTTACAGGTTGTTTCCCATGCCCTTCTCCTTGATGGATTAAAGAAAAATAATAAGCTTGTATGTTTCCAAATTTTGTGGAGAAATTTCATCAGTTCTTAAACACCCCAAAGCACAGTGTCTGATGAAAAAATTATTCTTTCTTGTAGACTTTTTCCTTAGCTCCTTCCTTCCTTTTCCTGTTGCAATGTCCATACACCTGAGGTTGCTAACAGTTACTAAATGTTATAGTACAATCACGGCAGTGTGTGCTTTGCACATTAGTTTTACTTACTATATAAAACCATCTTACAGGGTAAGTACTGATTTCCTATTTGACTAATGAGGAACCTGAATTCCAAAGGTGGCAAGCAAACTTGCTCAAGGTCACACAAGTGGTAGGACTGGTTGGTATTTCAACCCAGGTCTGTGGATGCCAAGCTCTGGCTTTCTTATATGCTAACATTCAATTTGCTTTAATACTTAGCCTACACTTTCCTGTAGGTACACCTAAGGCTCCTGTTTACAGCCTTGTTAGCTATGCATTTTCATTAGCCAGCTTCTATCTCACGGTCTGTATACTCCATTTCAGATAAAGCAAAAATAAGCACTATGCCAAGTTGCAATTTTTCATGTTTCTGTTGAAACTTCCATTTGGGAGTGTTAAGTTTCTTTCAGCTGGTTATAAGCATTGTTTTCAGCAGATTAACAAGGACATCTCTCCCTGAAGGGCTGGGATAATGGCAACCAAGCCACAATCATCTCTCACATAAACACATATGACTATTCAATTAAACAAAGACTTCTGGCTTTCTTAATGGCATGAGAATTACCCATCACGTTCATTTTAGAAATAATTACAGAATTGACATTTCCTGCTAACTAAATTCAAAGTTCTGCTGTATTGGGAAGGTAAAGCATTGGGCCAGGCGGGCATGTCAAAGGTCAGGATTGCCACTTTGAAGTCAGCTCCAGGCTGAGCCCTGGCTTAGTCACTTGCTAACTCCTATGATCTCATCTCTCTGATCTCAGATTTCTGCATCTACTGCTGAGCTACAGTCCCAGCCCTTAACTCTCGGTTTTCTCAACTGGAAAAATGCAGGCAAGGAGGAAGACCAAAGGAAGTCACTAGGCTTGTGCCCTGAGAGCTTGGGTACTATCATCTGCTCTGTTGTTCCTATTATCAGGCAACTCGTAAAATGAAAACTGAATTTCAGTTTACATGCCATTGTACATAGGCAATGATACTAAAGTCAACTTAAAGTCATTAGACATGAACACTATAAAACTAAATGGCTTAGTTATCCATCTACAAAATGAAGGTAAATAGTGTTTTCTTATTCTAGCACAACTTACAGAACTCCCTAACTGAAGCCATTGGAAAACAGAACAACTCATGAACCTAAGTTTTGCAAGCATTGCCCTCCTAGCAGAGGCAGCATTGAACTGTTAGCCTTCCTTACAGTAAAACCTTTGGATTTAACAACAAACAAGTGATGGGTGCAGGGATTCTTTTCCCACCCTCTAGAAGGAGCCAAAGTTGAGCTGACAATTTAACCTAGAATTGTCTGTCATTTTGAATTAGTAACTAGCTCATGGGTGCAATGAATTAGAATATTGAAAAGAAAAAAAGCACAGATGTTATCAACCTGCTTACATCACAAATGTAGGTGTGTATCCCCTGCCTTGCGAAATGTCTTTCAGCCCGGGCTTGTTCAAGTGTGCCAGCTGGTTTTACAACATTTTACACTCTCTTTTCTTCCTCTCCTCTCCTCTCCTCTTCTCTCTCCTCTCCTCTCCCCTCCCCTCACCTCTCCTCTTCTCTCTCCTCTCCTCTCCCCTCCCTCTCCTCTTCTCTCTCCTCTCCTCTCCCCCTCCCCTCCCCTCTCTTCTCCTCTCCTCTCCTCCCCTCTCCTCTCCCCTCCCCTCCCCTCTCTTCTCCTCTCCTCCCCTCTCCTCTCCCCTCCTCCCCTCTCCTCTCCCCTCCCCCTCCCCTCCCCCTCCCTCTCCTCTCCTCTCCCCTCCCTCCTCTCCTCTCCTCTCCCCTCCCCTCCCTCTCATCTCCCCTCCCCTCCCCTCTCCTCTCCCCTCCTCTCCTCCCCCCCCCCTCCCCCCCCTCCTCTCCTCTCTCTATCCCCCCTCCTCTGTGAACATGAAGCTAGGTGTGTTGGTTCAAATAGCTCAATATGCACAATTGTTCCTGATTTTAATAAGATGAAAATATTAAAATCATTTTAATTATCTATCCATCAAAATATAACATGAGCCCGTGAAAACCTGACAAGAATTTGATTTGACTCTGAAGTGTAAACATTTGCTGTGTTGGTTTCATTTCTTTTTGTTTGGGATTTACTGTTTTGTTGTGTCTTTAACCCAATGCTTACCTGGGAAGATTTGGCAAGCTTCTGAGTGTATTCCCTCTCGATCTGCTTCAGCCTGCTGTTGGCCTGCAAAACACACGTACATGAACACATACACAGTGACCTGTGAGCTTGGTATCTCTTCCACATGCCTATCACCAGGCAGCTGGGATGCCTGCCAGCTGCACCGCCCTTCTGGGCAGCCAGAAAACCACAGGGCTTGTCTTTGATCTGACGCCAACTATTCATCACTGAAGAAGCAAGCAAGAAAAGAGAGAGAGAGAGAGAGAGAGAGAGAGAGAGAGAGAGAGAGATCTCCTGCCAATTATTAGACAAACATAAGACTTCTGTGGATAGAAAGAAAAAGGGAAAAGGAGAGACAGAAATAGACATAGCAAGTGTGATGGCTCAGAGGTAAGGGAAGGGGGAGAATGAAGAAACAGGAAGGGAAAGAAAGACAAACGGGACAGCGAACTGGAGGAGGAGGAAAGGAAGGAAGGTGGTAAGTTGAATACTCTTTTACTTTAGTTTAAAAAGAAAAATAGGTGCTTTCAGACAAAGGCAGATGTGAAAAGTTCAGACCACTAAGCAGAGTTGAGCCCCTACTTGGCTGAACACACAAGAGGAATCTTTTGAAGTGACAAATATATCTAAATCAAACAGTTTTCCATCGTAGAACTAGGGTAGCTTTCCCAGAATAAGTCCACATTGCTTAGAGCGTGATCACCCTCCTGTCACTCAATTCTTGGTCCTTTAGATGTGACCCTCCTTCTGTTCTCTGGAAGTGTTGGGATCTTTACTCGCAGTGCTTAAAAAGGTTCCCGTGACATGCCCTGTCAACCACACAGCCCCTCATTTCTCAGAATGGGCTTTAGTCACTCTCCGTCTGCTTGTTCATCTGCCTGCCACTCTGCTTTGTCATCGTATTTCACTGTTGCTATTTTCCATATCTGTCTTTGATTTTTCCTAAAGTTTCTTCAGCTTTTCCTTTAAGATGTCCCATGGGATTTGAAACAACTGCTGGTGTAGTTGAATTTTTAAGGGTTCTGTGTTGTTCTATAAAACATCATTATGAACTCCCATTTTACAAGTGAGGAAACTGAGGCACAAAGTTTTAATAACCTTCCCAGCACTGAATACATTAGAAAATTATTGAACAGAGACTTAACACCTGCCCCCAACACACACACACACACACACACACACACACACACACACACACACACAGAGAGAGAGAGAGAGAGAGAGAGAGAGAGAGAGAGAGAGAGAACAGCGGAAGAACAGGGGGCTCCTCACTTCTCTTCAAGAGCACACAGCATTCGCTGTTGTTAGGATTCAGGCATTACGCTGGCCTGCCCTGTCACCTGGCATAATGCACTCAGGCAGTTCCCTGGGCTGGCCGGGGTCCTATGGCTGCTACATCACTATGTAGTCTTCATGCAGGTGTAAAGGTCCTTGTAAGAGGGAAACACCGCCCACTTCCACTCTTTGCTGCGGTTCCTCTGAAGGAGCAGACAGGACTCTCTCTCTTCTCTCCCCTCCCCACTCCCTTTCTTCCTCCTCTTCCTTCCATTCCTCCACTCCCTTCCCTTTCCTCCAGTAAAACTTCCCACTCAAGCACTGCCTGCCTGGTGTGTTTATCTCTCACCCACCATGGAATCCGCCAAGGTCCCCCTCACATCCCGTATTATAACAGCGGAATTCTCCCGAGGTTATCTAATGTCTGAAGATGTATCCATCTACCCATCTGTCAAGCATGTATCCACTTGTCAAGCACTATCTAAGTGACTCTCCATTTAAAAGACCTTCTATACACTAGAGAGTATTTTGGTTCCTGTCTTTCTCTGTAGAAACGTTCCTCATATCTGTTATCTTTGGTGTCTTTTTTCTTAGAATCTCTATAGCTTACTGGAAGCAGTTTGGATATGCACGCGTTTCTGGTTGAAGAGAGATCCCCATGGCCATGGTTTCCTCTGAGGCCATCTCCCACTGGACTTCTTGCTGGACATTTGCATAGAGTGTATTTTCTAATATACCACTTACATCCTAGATGCCAAGCCTTAGAAGGGCACCTGGGTGTTGAGGACAGACAGTATACAAAACCATCTTTATTTTAGCCTCAACTGTACCTAAGTTACCTTTCTCATTCTCTTTAGAGAGTCCCAGAGGTGGGGGTGGGGCTGGTAATGTGATTAACCAGGACATCATTTCTGAGTCATGTTACTTCCTTATTCAAACATTGAACCAATTTTTTCCATTTGTCACCTTATCCCTGCTCAGACCACTGTAGTTCCTGAAGTCTTCCCAAACATGGACAACAGGAAAGATTCTGCTGCTTTTGAAGGCATTCTCCAAGCTTTCTTTTTCCTGAAGGCTGTTGTGCTTTTGGTACAGCCCTTTCTCCAATACTAAAATTGTTGACGGTTATGTGCCCTGTTGTTTCCTTTGCTGTCTTTATGAGAGAATTATTTTACAAAAATGCAGACATCGGGGTTGCATTCCAAAGTTCTGATTTCATTCAAGTTATTACAGCAGCAGCAGCAACTACATGTACACACACACACAGACACACACACACACACCAAACTTTGTAGTTATTTTAACACTCAGCTGAAACTGTAAGGCACAGTCCATGCCCTTTTCTTTCTTCCAACCTAGGAATTCTAAATGGGATTTCTATGTCATGTCCCCTCTCTCAAGAACCAGAGATTGTTTAAGGGGAGGGCGCAGAAAGTTTGTAAAAGCCAGAAGAGGTGGATGACCAGAGTAAAATGGTTTTCTGGATACAATTTGGCAGTTGAACATCTGAACTCATAGTGTCTTGTCAGAATGCACAAGACCTGCACAAGATCAAGCCAGACAAAATCAGAGCATGGAGTGGGGAGGTCTCACCGCTAGATGAGGAGCTATTGGTAATTGATGGCCGAGAGAGGGAGAATCCATTTTCTTTGAGGATGAGGCCCTTGAATCCATGCTCCATTAACAGCCCTAAACCCATGCACCCATTGGTGGCACCAAGGGAATATCTGAAATGGGAAGGGATTAGTGGTGAGGAGAAGGAGAGGAAGCACTACATGGGAGGAAATGAAAGGTAGACTTGACTACAACACATTACATACATGTATGAAATTCTCAAACAATGAAAAAAAGTTTTACATTAAAAACAAACAAACCCAAAAACAACCCTAGGGCTTTGTGCATCTTGATCCACGGAGCTTTATCACCAATCTTTTATTACTTATACTTTGATAGAACCTCCTCAGGGAGTGGAGGTAAATGGTAAGTTTTTTTCTACTATGTTTAAGGACAGCAAATGATTTCTTGATTTGGATATCATAGTGGAATGATGAAGCAACCCAGGCCAGATTCTTCTCAATCACAGCATTGAGGCTGCGGTGATACTCACGGTGAGATCCTAGAAAGCTAGCAAAGCACTTGGTGAGAAGTGTTTGTTCAAGGAACACATAGAAATATAGTGCCCAGCCTTTTCCTGTGTAATCTCCTGAGACCTCACTTTTGAAGCAATGCTTTCAGGACCACATGTTTCTTGGACTCAAATTCAAAACAATTCTTTATAGTTTATACCACAAATCTCCGCAACTGTAATCCCACTGAGTACACAGTCTGATTTTGTTTCTTAAAGAGTAGCAAGGGCATTGACTACTGTTATTAGTCTAGAAAGTGGTCAGACTGCGTCCCAGCAACTCTCCATCACAGAACTAGGGCCACTTTGAACCTCTTGAGGTTTATTGGTTTTGGTTTGTATTCTGCTAATGTTACTTATCACAAAATGCTTGATGAAGTATTTGTTGCTTTAAAAATAAACACTTACAGAGCTCTTGCCATGTGCCAGACACTGTTCTAAGTGCTTTAAAAATATTTGCCCACTAGAGAACCTAAAAATTAATGCAGTGTCGTAAAGACCAATTTCCTTTTCAGAGATTCTGGTCAGTGCATGAAAGGCCGTCTCATCTGCAGGTCCTCTGCAGGACCTGTGACTAGCTGGCCCCAATAAACCAGACAAGGGCCTTTTCTGATAAATACTCAATGCATCCATCAAGTCTAGGGCTACAGGATTACACAAAACACACAAGAATCTCTCTTTACTTCCATGCAGCCTCTGTGAAAGTGAAACATGTAATTTTTGAAAGTGATGTTTTATATGGCATGATTGTCAATGAGAAAGATAAAGTAGGGGAGAGGGGTGGGGTATGAAAAGTAGAGGGAGGTTTATAATTAAAAAAACACAAGTTCTTGAAGACTTCCTAGATAGGGTCTTTGAGCAAACACCTGCAGGAGATTAGGAAGCCATGGGCAACTTCAAGTGCAAGGTTCCTGAGTCAGAGGGGCACAGAATAACAAGGCCGGCACAGGTGACTAGTAACCAAATCAGTAAGCAATGACTGAGCTGAGCTCTGACGCAGAAAAGGGCTAGAGTCCACATGGCATTACTTGTGATTATAGGGAATTTGGTTTTTAATACGAATAACATAGGAAATTACTGCAGCAGTGTTTTCTGTATAAGAGAAAATGTAATTTGTTTTAAGTAGTAATATGATCGCTCAAGATCTTATTGGGGGCAAGATTAAAACAAAGAAGCCACTCAGACTGCATCTACAAAGAATACCTGGTAGGGAAAGGCGTGATGAGATACAGGTAGGGTTTGGGAAAGACCTAAAAGAAGAAGCAATTGGATCTATCTCGATAGAAAGAGATGGTATAGGATGACTTCCGGGGCTGGGGAAATGGGTTCAGTGGGTTTCACACTGGATGCACATGTGTGAGGACCTGAGTGGACCTGAGTTCAGCTCCTAGACCCCATAGAAAGCTGGTGTGATAGTTAAATTTGAGCACTCCTACAGAAAACGGGAAGGGAGTACAGGAGAATCCCTGGAAGTTCACAGGCCAACTAGCTTCTTGTATACTGTGGCCAACAAGAAGAGACCGTTGCAAACAAGGTAAGGGCTGACACCCACAGTTGTCCTCTGACCTCCACATGCACACCATGGTGTAAGCACACAATACCCATATGTACCAACATGCATTCATGAACACAAAGTTAAAAAAAAAAAAACCCTTTTTTTTTT